AATGGTGTAAATGAATACTGCTGTGCGTTCACTCATCAGAGCGGCGTTGCTGAATAGGCCTAGGACGAGGAAACTCTTTTCAAATCGGCTCTTGTGACGTCCTTCTTTACGTCTCTGTGAAATTCAATAAAAAGGAGGTTCTTGAGACAACTAAGCTCTCGCGATTAAAGGTGCCCTCCTAATTTGCTAACTGCTCCAAAGAAAACGGCAACTTGACGGATCTCAAGTGGGTTAATTCCTTCATTTGTTAGGATAAGAATGGACTTCATACAAAAGATCTAACAAGCAACTAATCGGTCTAAGCATCCAAGTGGATCTCCGTATTTTGTTTTTCTTTATAGAAGCATGCACTTTCAGATGATTTTTTATCACAAACGTGCAGTTAGGTTAAAAGTGAATACACTTTCAGTTCATCTTTCTGAAGACGGAAAATCATTTTGTTTTAATTTCTTCTGAATTAAGACATCTCATATGCCATATCCTTTGACGACCATGCAGAATTTAGGAACCAGAATGTATTATCATCATACTCGGAGATACAACACTAGTCATCGAACTAGTTTCTTTGGCGCGGATACGGTGAGTTGAAACATATCGGCTGACTTTAACGTTCGAGAAGTTACACCGTCATAGGCTAAGCATTTTTTAAATGATATTGGCCTACTGCATGTGTAGGATAAAAGTATTCTTGGGGAAGGAAGACGGTCGGACTGAGCGTGGCGCTTGACTATTATGATATAAACATTCGTACTTATCAATATTTAAGAGGTATTGGCAACTCAATATTAATGGTTTTAACCAGCTGGGATGAGGAACATGGCCTACAAGGGTGTGATGAAAATAAGGAAGTATAGATTATATATTCTATGTCCCTCATCTCAACTCGTTAATACTATTAATATTCGGTCGCCCATACTTCTTAAAAAGCCAAAGGGGCACATGCCGTTTAGCCCTACTGTTTTAATCCACACACACAGAAAAAGATTGCTTGCCTTCCCAAACCTCAAAATACTGGGTCATAAGTATAGGTCTGTAAACATGTACAGACAACTGGGAGCGTTTTTTTTTTGGGGGGGGGGGGAGGGGGGGGGGGGTTAAGCCCCAACCCCATATAGACCCGCCCCTACAGGCTACAATCTCCCAACTTCAAAAGTGCGATCATTGGTAATATTGATGAATATACCACAAATCCCACATTAATTTGGTATACTCAGCCTCAGCATACAATGCCACCCCCTGTTTATATGCCCATGAAGAAAAAAAAAACGAAATAAATATAACCTGGCACGCTGGGCTGCTTATATTCTTCCTCTGCGCACCCCCCCCCCCCTCTCTCTCTCTCTCTCTCTCTCTCTCTATCACACACACACGTTCAATAGAATGGGTATAGATAATCACTCTAAAACTTTAATTTTATCGACACCCCCCCCCCCCAAAAAAAAAAAAAAAGAAAAAAAAAAGAGGGATTTCCTTTGGTCTTCTTTGATGGTAAGTAACTGTAATCATTGTGCTCTGTGCAGAAGTTCTTTAACAGCAGGGCGGCAGCGGGGTTAATCGGAACCTTACAAAAGGAGATCATTAGGGTTTATCCTTTTAATCTACCTCCTTAATGACACCCTCCTAATCTTCTTTATCTAAACAAGTTTCACGAGTGAAGGCTATTCAATGAAATTCATTTTGCGAAGTACCTCGTTAGGTTAGGATATATGTCAAGTGGGGAAATCGAGATTATTCAGGTCATGGAGCTTTTGTTGTTATCCCTTTTTCACTTATCAACAACAAATTCAAACTTTGTTTGCATGGCGCAAAGATAAATTTGAGAGTATTTTTGCTGTATACATACAAAAACCACGCAAATTCAAAATATCCCCTTTCGCTGATGGGTCTCTGATATGAATACTGTCAATGTATTACATTTTCCGTCTAAATGGCAATATTTTACATTCATAACGCCTTATTCTGGAGGCAGGGCTAGTCCCAAAGTCTCTTTCACGATACACATTTGTTGACTCCCCCCGGCTCCCCCTTTTTTCTGTGGACGGTCTTACGGCTATAGTCCAATGGCTTCTATTGGTAAATCAATAATGATCAATCAAAATCGAGAAAAAAAATATACGCTCGTTGTCGGGATGGGGGTTTACTGCCCACCATCCATTTTTGCTATATTTTTTTTTATTACAATATATACGCAAATAAATTAGGTTGGTTGCTCATCACTAATTAATGAAGGTGCCAAGGTGGATACTGTTTTACATTCTAAATGAGATTCGTAATATTTTATTTGACTCTATCGACCCCCTTCAGAGGTATGAGGCCCAAATTTGAAATTATGCGATCCAAATATTGGTACGTAATGGTGACCAGCAGTGACGTAATGCGGGGGGGGGGTGCAGGGAGGGTCGAGTTTCCCCTCCCTCCTCCGCGAAACGCGGAAACTTTGACGTTTCATTAAATCATTAAAGAAACAAGACGATTCGTTGTACAGTTCTTGACTCTTAATCCTCGTCTGAATTCAGTTTTCCCCCTCCCGCGCGAAGCGCGGAAACTTTTAAGTTTTATTAAATCATTAGAGAAACAAGACGATTCGCTGTACAGTTCTCGTCTCTTAATCCTCGTCTGAACTTAGTTCCCCCCCCCCTCCCGCGCGAAGCGCGGAAGCTTTTAAATTTCATTAAATGATTAGAGAAAGAAAACGTAGTTAGTTCCCCCCCCCTCCCGCGCAAAGCGCGCAAGCTTTTACGTTTCAATAAACCATTAGAGAAACAAGACGATTCGTTGTACAGTTCTCGAATCTTTAAATAATCCTCGTCTCAATTCAGTTTTTCCCCTCTCGCGCGAAGCGAAATTCATTAAATCATTAGAGAAAGAAGTATATTCGTTGTACCGTGCTCGAAAATAATCCTCGTCTGGATTTAGTTTCCGCCCCCTCCCGCGCGAAGCGCAGAAGATTTTACGTTTCATAAAATCATTAGAGAAACAAGACGATTCGTTGTACAGTTCTTTTCTCTCAATCCTCGTATGAATTCAGTTTTTCCCTCCCGCGCAAAGCGCGGAAGCTTTTACGAATCATTAAATTATTAGAGAAAGAAGACGATGCTTTGTACCGTTTTCTACTCTTAATCTTCACCTTTTTCTTCCTACGTCCTCTTCCTTTTCTCTCCTCTCTCTTTTTTAATTTTTTTTTTATTTGCCGGCGATTTTGGGAGGACCGCACCCACCGCCCCCCCCCCCCCTGGCTACGCACCTGCTGTCAGATAAACACATTTTGATACCTTGTCCGACCCGGACGCTCAGGGGTTTAAGGCAATAAATTACGGTCAGATAAGCATTCAGGGGCCCGCCTTAGGTCCCCTGGTGGGGTCGAGGCAGTGGAGCCCCTGGAAGCTCAGGGGTTTTAGGCGTTTAATTACGGTCATTTGAGCTTTTTCTTTTTGATACGTTATTATTTTGTGACACTGGCAGGACACTATTCGGAATGGGGTCCAGGGGGCGAAGCCCCCAAAAATCAGGGGTTTTGGGCAATAAATTACCGTCAGGTGACCATCTAAGGGCCCGCCTTAGGGCCCTAGGTGCATTTAGGGGGCAGAGCCCCCGGAAGCTTAGGGATTTTAGGCATTTAGTCACGGTCAGATGAGCATATTTTGATGCCTCATTATTTTTTGACACTGGCAGTTAACTATTCTTTCTTTCTTGCTCTCTCTTTTTTTTTTTTTTTTTTAAAATCTCTCTGTAATATACTTTTTCAAAAAAAAGTGGGGGGGGGGGGGGGGGGAGCTCGACTGCTCGAGGCTCTCGATCCCCGCCGTTCCTCGGGCCCTGACATGAAGGAATCTCAAGAATCATATTTCTTGCCTGGCTGTAAATTTAGGAATTCGTCATTTTCCAACAAACACATAAAAAAGTATAAATTACTAAAAAGTCAGGAAATTATATCATTTCAGCTTTATTTGTAATCCACCGTTATGGAATTAGAAATAAACCACGTTTGAATTTGATTTCCCGAAGCCCCCCCCCCCCTATCAGTACGCCAGTATCCTTTCCCCTTCCTTCTCTCTTATTTTTTTTGATCGGGGTGGGGGGGGGGGCAACAACCTGGGAGGCAAGGCCCTTTCGGGCCCCCGAACTCCTTCTTCCCCCCTTTCTTTTCTTCTCCCTCTTCTTTCTTTCCCTTTCTCTCCTCTCTTCCCTTTCCCTTCTTTTCCTTTCTTCTATCTTTTTTTTTGCGGGGGGGGGGGGCAAGGCCCGCTCGCCCCCCCCTTGGATCCGCGCCTGATGAGAGCACTATATATTTACAATACAATACAGAAAGACATAACAATAAAATACATAGACATAATACACAATTTTATATAAAACACAATAAACACGAGCTAAAGACTAGTATACACTATACAAGTTATAGTAGGCCTATGTCTAAAATATCACGTGGTTTGGGTTGTCTACCACTTTGAGTAACTACACTTTTATTGACAAAAATAGAACAACGAATAGGAACAACGAAAATAATTGTATTATTACTGTTATGTCTTATGAGTTCTCTCAGTAATTGTTTAACACTAGAATTTGTCTATGTGAAATGTGCTAGGGTTACACAACAAACTGTCGATCTAAATATAATTCTTGAAAAAAGGGCAGACAAAAATAGAGTGAAATTCATCTCCAAAAAACCTTTAAATCACAACAATTAAGGACATATAATTTGACTTCCGTCGGGTATCAAAGCGGTTTGACCTGCATCAGAATCGACACAGAGCCTTGCATCTTTTCTTTTCAACTTTGCCAAATCACTTTTCAAATAAAATTTCTTGAAAATTCGGCAGTTAACACAAATGCGATTTGACGAAACATTTGACAATATTACTTGCTTTGACATGTCAGTCAACCTAATAACATGCAAATACTTATTGAGCATCTACCATGTTCACAGAAAATTTGGGGAACTACATAAACAAACGCGAACGCACATGGTGAGATGTAAACTATGTTTACAGTGTGACCGCATTGCACTTATCTTTGTGTAGGAATCACTACACCACGTCAATTGCCATGGCTGAACTGACGCCTCTCGAATGTGCTATGCTGATAAACATCGCTTAGAAAACAAAGATCGAGAATCTTGAGTATCATTTTTCACGAAGTACATTATAATATATCCAGAGATGTTGTCCAGGACAGGCAGTGGTGGTAGAAAGAAAGAAAAGAGGGATATGGTACGTACATTGTGTTGTTTGTACAAGCTCTCCCTTGTTTACGCATGAGTGAGAGCCTTTCATAGATAGCGCAGACGCCAGAGGTTTCGGCTGCATGGGACACCATGTAGTCGGTAGTCGTTAGTACACTACGTGCTTTTCTGTGCTGCTCAGTTTTGTACTGCTGCAACAGAGCAATTGAAATGCAGTACGCCAGTAGGGACTACAGTAAAACTAAACTAGAGATGCTGTTTTCTGTCTAACCAGTAGGGGCCCTGATCCGAGAATAAGGATCATCCGCACAAACGAGGATCGTCTCCGTAAACGCGGACAGACGCGTCAGCAAAAATAAGGATCGTCCGCTTTTTCACTGACAATTCTGATTACTGATCCGCGACTGCGCGTTGGTGATGAGAAAAACTGGAGTCCGTTTTTTCGCATGGCCAGCGCGTGGAATCGGGAACCAGAAAAAAAAAATCCGTCAAAATATGGACGATCCTTATTTTTCAGGACGCATTTTGCCCGCTTATACGAGGATATCCTCATTTATGCGGACGATTTTCATTCTCAGACCATCCCTCCTACTGCTAACTGCAGCTGTTTGGTGTCAAACTCTAGTCTAATACCAAGTGCAAGACACTTCAACGATTTACACCCTCTCACAGTTACAAGAGCGCGCATGCCCCGAAATGGTGGCGCCATTTTAAATTACGAGAAAACATTGATGGCGCAATGTTTATTCGCCAATTAAAATGGTGGCCTTATAACTGTGAAGGGGTGAGGTGTGCATTGTGTAGGATTCTTGATAGCATATCATGCTCGTCTGAATGCAGGTGAAGTTACCCTGATCAATGACGATGTAGACTACAGACATGCGCATTCAATATTAAAAAAACACATCAAGAGATTACATCTTTAGTTACCTTTACCCAAGCTACTGGAAGAATACTGTGTTCCCAGCAGTCGGGCTTCAAGTTCCAGTATATAGGTCTACATGAAAAAAAAAAAAAAAAATGCAATTAAATTGGATAGAGATGTTTATGTTTTCAAAGAAGTCCGAAGAAGTACTAGTAGCTTGCATCGCAATTGTCCCTAAATGTGGTTCTAATGTCATTTGGCACAACTCGGCAGAGGTAAGACGACAAATTAGGTTTGAGCGTATACGGTGGCTGTGTGGAATTACTTATCGACGGGATGACAAATCTTGGGCCCAGAAACTTTAGGTCAGATTTTTTGAGCTAAGGCATAGTGAAAACTCTAAAAATAAATGTGCTATTTTATCCAAGGGACTGGTAGAGACTGATTATATTGGCTGAACTGGAGGAGAGTGAAATCTAACCACATTTGTTTTTGGTAATCGTATTACAAATGGGCATGTCTTAGTGAGATAAAATCTTACAAAAATAATTCTAAAAATACCAATTTAAGAAAAAAAGGGGGGGGGGGTATTTTTATCTCACTAAAATGATTCTCAGAATGCCCATTTTAAGAAAAATGTTATGGGTAAATTATCTTCTCTCATTAGGATAACATTTCAGATTTTTATCTTAGTGAGATAAAATAAAACTCTAAATACAACCCCTGGTCAGGACAATGTATCTGAATGATTTCCTCTATTTTCTCTGTTCAAATGTTACCATCTTACTACCAACCTTAGTTTGAAGATATCATTATTTCTAATTTTCCATGATCAGTGTACATTTTGTATATGAATCAGTGGAACTTCAAATTCTATAATAACCAAAACTTGTGATAACATTTTACTTTGACAAGTTCTGGTTCATGTATGTGGCACAATTCTTATTAAATTATTTGAAAATGTTTGAATCTGTAGATGCTCTACATGCACTTGTTATGCCGACAAATACAACAATTGAATCAGACAGATAGTTATGAAATAGTGAGTGAATGGCTAAATATGTCAATAATATAGGTGCTGGAGAATTAGACCAATACATCTGAATTATGTATCAGGATTAGCATGCTATTCATTGTCATTCAATCTTTTGTATTCAAAATCCTACTTGTGCATTTCAAATTTTCGATTGCTGTTTAACATTCTGTATTCATATACACTGCACATTTAACATAGCAGAATTGTATCAGTTAATTGTGTTGCCTTAGCTACCCTCTTGATCAATGATCCTGTGATAAAAAACTGATTAAATTGCATCTTGTGTCAATTCTTATACAGCAAATTATCTTCTACATGTATGACTTCATGTAAGTGATTAATACAATACATGTAGTCAAATACAAAGAGCTTTTTATCAGTCTATTCTGTAAAACAAATGGACTTTGGACATTGACAATTGACATGTACTGTACATCTAGGCACATGAACATGTTTTTAGTTTGCCAATTAAACTGGGCTGTGTTAGTGAATCTGTTGTGGTGATTTTAGGGGAAAATTGGGAGTGGCAAATGTGCTGGTATATATTTAAATAAAGCTAACTAAAGTAATAAGTATCCTTTATGGTTTATGAACATTTCCTGAATTGTATTTCTAGTGCCATCAGAAAAATAGGATGAGTATGAAATAATAGTGTGTTTAAAGTTAATGATCAATTGAAATGATTTGTTTTGACTCAACACAAAGTTAAAATTGTAGTCACCCTTAACTTACATGTATCTGATTTTGGTGTTTTTGTGGCCTAGATTGTTTGTAATGGTTCTGGTTTCGTATTTGTGGATGCAAAAAGTTATATACTTTTGTGGATTGTTTCATTGACACCTTGTCAAATACATATTTGTTCTTTCTAATCTAACCTCCTCTAAAGTTATCTCTCTCTTCTTATTCCCAGTTCGTCTTTCCATCTTTCTCTTTAGTCTCTTTATACTATATTCCTACTCTTTCCTCTTAATATGCTCTCTGTACCGTAAATCTCCGTGTATAAGGCGCACTTTTTTGCCGCCGAAAAAATTTGAAAGTCGGGGGTGCAACTTATACACAGGTACAGATTTTTTTTTTTTTTTTTTTTTTTTTTTTTTTTTTAGTTTCGATTTATGGCGCTATGCCTGGCAATGTCGCATATGTGTTCTATGTTTCTATAACAAATGGTGTACCACAAGGTTCTATCCTAGGTACTCCATTATTGGAAAGATAGAGGATGCTATTCATATCATGCATGACTATTGATGTTTGGCATAGAACACAGTGCTTCTGCTAGGTGATGTGAAGAGGCTGGTGTGGGACACTTGGTATCATGAAGCCTAAGACTGTTGTTACTATTATTTGTGACAAGTTCACAACTTCTACTGCACCTCGATGTAAAATGAAGGTCCTTCCCCGCGTGGGTTTTCGGCAACAAAACAACAACAACAACAACAACACAAAAAACGATTTTTTTTTTTTTTTTTTTTTTTTTTTTTTTTTTTTTTTTTCCCCCCCCCCCCAAAATAGGGGTGCGCCTTATACACAGGTGCGCCTTATACACGGAGATTTACGGTACCTATTTTTCTATCTGGATTAATTTGCTTCTCTATAATACATTGTAGCTTAAAAATCATGCGAAAAGAAAATAAAGCTGGTATTTCAGCTAGTTGTTTTGAACACAACTTTAATCAAAATTTTGATGTTGCTCTATAAGGGCAACCATTTCTCTTTCCTTTTTAATATTTGATAATCTGAAAGCAGTTTGGTGGCCTTGTACCATGGAGCTACTGCTAGTATAGAGTCTTGTGAAAAACTAATACATTTTAATTATGACCTTGCCCATTGCCAACCACCAATTTTTTTTTAGTGGAGGCTTTGATTACCATGTTCCTTTCAAAATGGCTTCGTACATGAACTAAATATGCCATTTTTGAATTGTAATCAAATTTAATGCACAAATACTTGTTACAGGTAATTGCCAAGTATTGTTACAAATAATTTCATTTACCTGTTACAAATAATTGTACTTATAGCCAGATTGCAAATTGCATACATTACATGTTATTGGTACATGTACACTGTGGGACATGCCATAATGTATGTTCTAGTGACAGTCCTACCTAGCAACAGTTAATGTAAGCAGTTCGCATTCTGACTATTAATTTGTAATACAACTATTCATAACAGGTAAATGAAATCATTTGTAACATGGTTCTTAACAAAGATTTATGCATTCAATTTGATTACATTACAAAAATGGTTTATTATACAAATACAGTTTCTCACACATTTTTGTTCTGTCATTGTGAAGTTGTTTAATAACATGATAATTATTGTATGTAAATAGAATATTTAGTGTCTGTAAACACAATGAATAAGAAATTATCGCCTACAAAAATGTCTCGGTCATATGTATTTGCTCAGATGTGAATTTTAGGTTGGTGAGATATATATGTACATGAGATACACAAACTATCATGGATTGGTTCGACACAGTGTTGATTCAAATTCAAGGTTATGCTTGTGATAATATCGTTAAACGGAGGACACAATGGCGCCCATCCTCCATTGTTTGCTTGAAAGAGCTCCCTTATGATTATTATATGCTGAGCAAATGATGCTTGAGTTCTAATTGGATGAACAAGATCACGCCCAAAGCAATTGCACTGTTTGATATGGGACAGTAGTTCTGACTACAATTTCCATATCTTGCTATAATTGGTTGTTTGATAAGGAATAGTGAAAGGAGATCATGCTTTAGTAAACCTTACAAACTGAAGAGGTTGCATGATGATTGTTGAGATGAATACAAATTCTTTTAAAAAGAAAAGTTACCTAAGTAAAAATATAAGTATATAACCATGCATGTAATAATTAGTTTGTCATATTTTTCTGGTGGTTGTACATGTAGGATGTACAATGTAGTCTACACCTTTTGGTGTAAGCTGTCACTTTCAATATGAAATTGAAAGTTCTGATATTTTAATCCATTTATTTGTTGAAGTTAGTCTATAAAAATGGCAAATAAGAAAGCTATTAACAATGATTTAGCCATATCTTTAAGTTTCTATAAATAATAGTCCCTTTTTATTCTCTTCTCCAGCAAAACGCTCTGGCCCATGATGCAGACCGGGGCCAACCGTGCATGAAGTGTGGCGACAAGTGCCCTGGCCTTGCACTGCATTATTGGAGGTAGGTACCTTTCTACTCCGATTTGATCACTCAATTAGGGCTTTGTACATTTCATGAACGGAAAAGACAAAAAAGTTAGTGGGATGTACAACATGTCTTGCTCTCCCATGTCGGAATGGAAAAAAATGTTTTAAAGGGTTGTAGTAGTAGCCGACTTGATTGAATATCATTTCTTGTTGTATGAATTTGATATATCACATGAATCCCCACAGACCTTTAAAAAAAAAAACATTATTTAAACACATTGCCATATGAAAAAGTGAAGAGTGAAGAGTGCACATTGTAAATGTAGATTTATATTAAGTCCAATGAACAGGCCAACAGTAAATTTTGCCCCTTTTCAATTTAAATAAAGAGTGGCTCTTTTAGATATTGGTATGATTTTAATGTTTTTGTTTTTCATAGTTCAAGACTCTGTGTTTTTGCTCATATTATTTTCAGTTTGATGGGATTATGTAGATTCTAGTAAACTCAGTTCTAACAAATATGCCCCCCAAAAGATAACATTAACAAAGACTTATTGTCAAGAGGAGAAGCAACATAATGATACATACATGTAGAAGCAATTATTTCAGTCCCCTGTACAGTAAACCAGGATACAATATACAATCTCTGGCTGTGTGAAATGACCCAATACTAATCAGACTTCAAAAGGTGCGAATATCTATTCTGAATGGATGAATGAAGTGTTGATTTGTTATGATACCCTGCTGATGTCCTGCTGCTCTTTATAATGATGAAGCAGACAAAAATGCCAATCTTGGTTTACTATGAAAATATGAGATGTTGGTTAGAGAGAAAATAAGAGAAGAATACAGAAAGCAGTGCATATTGAAGAAAGTCTTTGTTTGTGTATGCTGTGTAATGGAGCATTGTAGATTACAATAATACATATCAGGATTGCTTCCATTTAAATTGAATACATTTTCATTTTGTGACCTTGCGAACACCGATGAAAATGATTCTTGATAAATCGAGCGTTGGACTTCTCACATCCTAGAGAAAATATTACTTATAATCTGCAGCCAATTTCTCTCAGAGAAAAGCTTTTTGTAAACTGCACTTATTTTTTGTCATAATACCAATGGGCGCCCATTAGTTCTTGGCTTTGCGAATGCTTAAAGTTTTATTGGGAGTATTAATAGGACTTTATTACCCATAAACTATCCGAGTATCATCTGTTATTGCGTGAAATTTTAAAACCCATCTTACTCCAGTGCACCTAGAATACCCATACTTGTAGGTTTGTTAAGCAGATGTCATAAATGCATTCATTATAAAGATATAAATTGTATGTATTTGATCATAACTCATAATGAGAACATTTCCCGAAGAAGCATATTGACATTTCTGAGGTACTTGATAATTGGACCATCATGGGCCATAAAACGACATCTGAGGAAATTGTAATTGCCTCTTTTTATAGAGATAATTTGTTTTGAAATCTTGTGATATGAAACACTTTAACCGATAGGACATTCATCATACATGTGTATGCACATGACATGCATTTGTTTAAATAATATTTTACTTTAAAGGTTGTGCCTTCTATTAGCTTGGGATTTTAAAGTTAAACCATGATATTGGTTTAAAAGAAATTTACAGGATATGAAATGTTGCTTTATACTTTTGAATCTTTGCAATTTCAAACTTTGCACACACTTAAAAAAAAAGTAGTATCATGTGTAAGCCCACAATATCTTGGTCTGGGTCTTAGAAAAAAAAGTGTTTTAAGTCCTTTAATCAAATCATATTGAGTGGGTTAAATAAGGAAAGAACAAAGATCATTCTGGAGTGTCAGCATTGATTACTTAGTATTGTTGATTTTTTTATTATTATTGTTTTTATTATTAGTAGTATCATTATTTTTCTTTTTACTTATTTATTTTTTTTTTTTTTGGGGGGGGATGGGATTGTTTGTTGGTCTTGAAGAGGTTATAAATTATTGATTCTAATTATCATGATCTTAGCACGGATTTGCTAGATCGATGTGATGAACTGATTTATATGAACTTTATTTCTTTCTTTTAGAATATATCCTTTGCCTTTATCAACACAGTGGTCTACCTTTAATGAGTGAAGCATAGCTCTTGTCTAGTTTTTTTTGTGGTATAGACACAATGCATAAATCATCTTTAAAAGATGACAGCGTTTTTATGGTGTGCAGAAGACCTCCAGGAAAGCCATTCAATTTAATTTATTACCAGATGACTTTTTCATACTACGCTTTTATCCTCAATTTCAGCAGTGCACCTGATTTTCAGCCACATTGTTGTAACATTATGTATGTGAAAGCAGACTGAGTTTTTTGTTTTTTGTTATAATTTTTTTTTTTTAATTACAAGAGTTCATCTGACCCTATTTGGCTGTAGGATAAATTACTAAATACTAATGCCATGAATTTCAGTTGTAATTCAAAATACTCCCAATATTTAGGTTGTGTGACTTTTTACATTTTGTGAAGAGGAAATCGTAGTTTACTAATAATTGACAGATCAATTACTTACAGTTTAATATTACAGTTCAACTGCAGTTCTTATAAAATTAAGAATTTACTCTTGAATACGTGATGCTTTATTACTAATGAAATAATGCCAGTTATAGTGTTTTTTTCATGATGTTACATCTAAATTAGAACTAGGGCTTCAGTCAAGCTACATGTAGACAATCATAGAAACTTACCGGTACTGGGATTTTACAGGGTTATAAGGTTAAGTAAAGATGTCCATTGATTTGTACTGTCATCCTTGAATGCTGAGCCAGCTCTTTGGAAAATTATTAGATCGATAAAGACTTTTGTCGTGGACTTGAAAAGAAATTTTAAACAGTGATAGAAAAGATGATATCATCTGGTTGAGTTTCATTGTATTTTTGGAGGGATTTAGGAAGTTCTTTCTGGATAAAGAAGCTTTGTTATGGTTGAGTTCTCTTGTGGGAAACCTATTAGTTATTCTTTATGAAGAGGACTTTACATGCCCATAGGGACATATGACTGTCTCCCATCCTTCAATTAAACCTGGTAAATGCAGGTCTGATGGCCCCTTTATTTGCTTCTAATATCACTGATTTTAGAGGGCATTCTTGTAATTTGGGTTGTAATGAAGGGAATTATGGCCCTTAATCCATGTCAATATTTGAAGGACACGTTATGTGCATGTATTTGTCCGTTGACGTTATTTGCAAGTACTTGATGACATGATGTCTGATGAATGGCAGAAAAATTGTAAGGCTGTTCTCTTTCTCTTTCTCCTTTTTTGTGGGGGGGGGGGGAGGGTTGCATGTAACTTATTGTGATCCTTATTATCTTCAGCTGTATTACCGGTAGCGCAATATGGATTAATAAGCATTGTCATGTTTCTTTGATAGAAAATTCAAAGAGTGTAAAAATTTTATCAATGAAAGAAAAAAACTTTGATGTGGTTGTTGAGGAGGAAAGAAAATTTTTCTTAGGATAAGGTGTACACATACAGGCCCACATTGCACCGGATATGATAATTTCGCCATGGGCTTACTATATATGTATGGTCACGCAGGGAAAAAATTACTTTAAAAATTTGGGGAGCTACTTTTCAAGCTTGCTTGCTTTAAAATAACACTCTTTAATTTGTTTTGCATTGAACTCTATGCAAAATTTGGGGGCTCTTTTAAAACTTTCGGGGTGCTAATTCGCCCTGAGCCCCCATGTATTTTTTCCCCTGGTATGGTGTGATAGTACCATGGCTACCATACTGACAAGCCAACCAAAATAGGCATGTACATGTACAGTACTCATTTTCAAACTTCTTGTTTTCCCCAGTGTCTCTTCATCAGTAAACACAGATACATACAACGAGGCAATGTTTAATCAAGATAATGCACAATGGGCACTATACAAATTTTTTGGGAAAATATTGTACGGTGCTTAACCAAAACAAACATTTGCCTTGTCTCCGAATGTCTCATTGAGTGACCTTTATGACAGAGTCTGACAATGACATACCATAAAAATAGGAGACTCAAACAAATTAGAATATTTTGAATAAACCCTACCTCTATCTATAAGGAACACATGATATGTAACACAACTGTCATTATAATGACATTTAAATGGTTTTGTTTATTTATTTATTTGTTGGTACACTGACTTTTTAAAGTGTATATGTACTGTACATTCACAGTAATTTACTTGTGTTATTCCTACATGTATACAGAGATAGGATCTCATGTATGTAAGGGGGGGGGGGGGTAAAGCAATTTTCAAATCCCACACATAATATACCCCATTGATTATTTATTCAAAATTGGTATCTTTTAATCTATATGCATATATGTCATGCGAAATATACAAAATGCAATTTACATTACACATCTGTAACATTGCATCCATGTTATTCAATTATTGAAACATCCCATGCAACTGAAGTGAAAGTGAACTCCTCATCTTATGGATGTGGCGCCCTCTATTGGCAGGTTTGCTTCAAGCCAGTCAGAATCTCACCAGAAGCTCGGCTTAGGCTATACATGGTTTTCAGTAAAGATAGAGAAGAGAAAATCCATCTCGTTTTGAAATGTGTTTTTTTTTGTATTTTCCTTCTTCAGTATGTTCTCTACAATTCTTGGGACTATTTGTTGTATAAAGTTTAGTATCATTTTGTTTTACTTCTTTCAACCACATGCCTTCAAAATCTTGAATGTTTCATATTTTAGACACAGATAGTTTGCATGTGTGTACAAAGATCAAATATTATTTTAAATTCAATAGTTTGACAATATGAACATCATTTTCTTCAACTTGTGGCAGACATTGATTAATTTTGAATGGACAAAATTGGGGGTAACTGAAGTAACATTGAGAATCAATTGGAAAAAAAGACACACTGAAGAGCAGTGAGTGATTTTGCTTTCAAATCCAAAAAATTCCTTGTCTAAAACAAGAAAGGAGTAATTACAGAGAAGAAATCTCATTAAGACTATCTCACAAATGTAAACAGATCTCTTGTGAACAACGAAATATCAGAAACCCAAACGCATGTTTAAATATGTATTTTATAAGCATACTGAAGCAGCCACTGAATCTGACTAGAGTATGATGCAAGCAAACATGTATGTGGCATCCATTTAACTGTAGCTGGAGTCCATATACATAGCAACTATCCGATCCATTAAGATACCGGGTAGAAGGATGGATATAATGTCTTGATAAGAGAGAGATATGCAAAGCCAAACAGTAGTGCAGTAAACATGATATGGTAACCTTTTACAAGATACATATACATTTGCCGTTGCTATCCCGTGTTCAACAAGCAAGTGAGTAAATGCATTATGTTTACCTAGTAATCAGATGAATATGCTTTATCCTATGTTCCACAGTAATTAATACAAGTAGGATGCTTGTGAGATATTTTTTAGTAACATCTAAGAAGTTAAAAAGTGAGATACCATACATGTAGCATAGGGCATTCAGTAAGGACATTCATGTTGAGATCTAGAAAGGTGTAATGCCTTAGTCACACCTTTGCATATTGCTGCTTATTTATGGCAAGCCGTTTTAACATTTATTCCTATTTCTT